TTATCAAACATCAAAAGTTTTCAAAAATCCATTGCGTAAAAACGGGACGAAGTGCACGCGCGCGCGTTGTCGCGCGCGCATGCCGCAATCCTTTATAAACCTCTGGTTTCGGAAGGATTTCCAAATCGAGTGTTCAATTTACATGTAAAAATGGTTTCGCAACACGAATTGTCAACGCAAGCGTGCGCGCGCTCTTGCGAATTCTTAAGAACACCATTGGTGTTTGTGGTTCAACATGTTCCGAGCATGCTACCAAACGGGCTTCGCGCGCGCATGCCGAAATCGTTCGAACGCCTCTGCGCGCGTGCCGTCGCGAGAATCCGTTGCAAAAAAAATGCAACGAAGTGCACGCGCGCGCGTCGTCGCGCGCGCATGCCGAAATCTTTCAAAAACCTTCGTTTCCGGGAGGAATTCAAAATTAACTGTCCCAAAAAACATAAATAACACCGGGTTTCGCAACGCGGATGTTCAACAAAAGCGCGCGCGCGTTCTTGCGAATTCTTACGCACACCAGAAGTTTACAACATGTTCAGCACATGCTACTAAGCGGGCTTCGCGCGCGCATGTCGAAATCGTTCGAACGCCCTTGAACGCGTGCTGGGGGTGGCACGTTCCGTGTCACATAATACCATGCGAGCCATTCTCGCGCGTCTGCCGCACGCGCATGTCGAATTCCTTCGCGCCTTCACGAGTTGTTCCGACGTCGCTGTCAGCATCGTCGCCAGCATCGCTACTATCATCATCGCGTCTGCCGTGATACCGCACCCGCCCAAGCTGCCGACATGCATTGAAGTGTCCGCTGGGATGCGCCGAGCGGCCAGCGCCAACGCGTTCGCGTCGGTCGCGCCAAACTAGCTGGCCGCTGCGCGCGCGAGCATGCGCGGGCTAGCGCGGCCGCAGAGATGCACCAGCCAACACCCAGCACCCATCGCAATCGCTTCCGCATGGATTTTGCAAACCAAGTTGCGGGTGGGCGGGTGGGATGATTGCGCGAGCAGTGGGGAGTTTAGCAAGTGAATCGCACCACGTAGATTCTCCTCTCTCAAAACAAGTTAGAGTCTACCCCCATCACCCACCCGAGGTTATCCGCCACGCGTTTCCATAGGAAATTCATATATGATCGTGACCCTTCGCTAATTCCCCCCAGGAACTCATGCCATCCCAGGCCAGCCGGCATCGACCCCCCCGCCATCCTCTGCAACAAATACTGTGGGCGCGCTTTCGTTCATAAAAAATCATAAGTTGCCAAGGATCCCTTGCAGCAGATGTGACGAAGTGCACACGCGCGCGTCGTCGCGCGCGCATGCCTTTAATCAAGTTCTTGGCTTCGGAAGGATTCCAGAATCGAGCGCCCAGAAAACATTCTTTGTTTAAAAACGGGCTTCGCAACACGGATGTTCAACAGAATCATGCGCTTGTCAACATTCCATTACATGCTACCAGAAGGGTCTCGCGCGCGCACGTCGAAATCGTTCGCACGCCCTTGCGCGCGTGCTGTGGTGGCACGATCCGTGTCAAATAATACTATGCGGGCCACTCTCGCGCGTCTGCCGCGCGCGCATGTCGAATTCCTTCCAAACCTTCATCACGGGCGCGAAGACGCCGTCATCGTCGTCGGCGTGATCAGCATCGGCGCCGTCACTGGCTGCCCCGACGTCGCTGTCAGCATCGTCGCCAGCATCGCTACTATCATCATCGTGTCTACCGTTGTCGACGTTGCCATGATTCCGCGCCCGCTCAAGCCGCAGACCTGCATTGAAGTGCCTGTTGGGATGTGCCGAGCGGTCAGCGCCAACTCGTTCGCGTCGGTCGCGCCAAACTAGCTGGCCGCTGCGCGCGCGAGCATTCGCGGGCTAGCGCGGCCGCAGAGATGCACCAGCCAACACCCAGTACTCATCGCAATCGCTTCCGCATGGGTGGGATGTTTGCGCGAACAGTGGAGTGGACAACTTCAAGTTGATCATTGGTGAATTGCACAGCGTAGAGTGCGCCGCATAGAGTGCATCACGTAGGCTACATCGCATACATTGCATCACGTATATTGTACCGCGTAGACTGCAAGAGCTTACCGTTTGGGGCCCACGCTGGTTAACATATGTATGTACGTACACACGCATACACATATATGTATGTATGAATGTATGTATGTATGTATGTATGTATGTATGTATGTGTATATAATATATATATATATATATATATATATATATATTATATATAAACAATTGTCCCTCTCTTCCTCTCCTCTCCCCGTGGGCTTTGTTCCCTAAGCGCCATGTAAAGGGTACCTCCACCTCTTTCCCAGAATGTGTCGGGCGACGCCGTCTCCCGCGGTCCTTCCTTGGCACCACCGCGGCCTCCCGTTGTTCCCCGTCGGGCGCTCGGAGCGCCAGTGGGGCAGGGTTTGAGCGCCCCAGGCCCCTTGGGCGGCTGGAGCTCACTGGGCCCGCCGAGCCGGGGCCGGCCCGCGCCGCGGCCGCAGAGAGGCCGCCCCCGGGGCCGAGGGGAGCCACCGGCGACCCATGGGACGGCGGTTGTCGGGGTCGGCAAAGAGGGGTGTGATCACTGGGGGGGGCGTCTTGGCTTGGCACGCGGGAGGCCACCCCCAGGGCCGAGGGGAGCCACAGGCGACCCAGGGGATGGCAGCTGTCGGGGGCGGCGCAGAGAGGGGTGATGACCAGGGAGTGAGGGGGGATCTCATAGCGGGGGCCACGATCTACCCCCAGAATGTCATGGCGCCTCCTTTCATTTCACTACGTCCCCAGCCCCGGGCATGATCTGCGCCCCCCTTTCTTGGACGCCCCTCTCTTGGACGCCCGCGCGGTCGCCGAGAGGTGCCCTTGGCCCAAGGTGCCCCCAGCCTGTCGCTCCAAATTGGGGCGTTCCAGGAAGAGCCTCGCCTACGAGCGTCGAAGAAGTTGCCATCTCTTTCTGGGCGGAAGGGCGGCGGGAGTAAAACGAGGCCGCCTCCGCCGGCGGAAGCCGGCGGAAGGGTGGCGGAAGGTGGTTGAAGTGAAAAATGCGTCCCCAAGAGAAGACAACGTTTTTGGGTTCAGGGTTTCTGGACTCCGCCATTTGGGAGCCCCTAGGGCCCCCCTGGGCCTCGTGAGGGGTTCACTGGAGGCCGTGGAGGCCCCCCCTGGAAATCTAGTAACACCCGGCAGAGGACGGCGGAGAGCTGGGCCTGAACCGACGCGCGGGCGGTAGTGGGCCACCCCCGTGCGGCCCTTGGGGGGGAGGGGGGGGGGGCCCTCGCTCAGCGTGGTGAAGGGAGAGCCGCCCGCAGGGGGTTGTTGCTGGGGTGCGCGGAGGCCGCTGGGGGAGCTCCCTCGGGGTAGGCCACGGCGTCGCCATGGTACCAGATCAATGTGGGCCGGGGCCTGGCTTTCTCGTCGAGCAGTAGGCGTCGACGGGCGGGCACGGGCAGGGAGCGAAGCGGAACTCGCCTTCCACGAAGTGAGCGGGCGGCGCATGCCAGATCTGCGCCATCTCCGTGCACTGCCGCTTGGACTCAAGGTGATTGCTGTCGGTGGAGCAGCGGCAGACCTCGCAGAAGCACCCTGTCTGCAGCCATTTCTTGTCATTGTCCCAGGTGTCCCTGGCCACTTCAACCTGGGTGGGCGGCGACCCTGAGGAGAGGGAACCAGCCGGCGGGGGCTGGAGGCCTCGCCCCGTGCTGGGGCATCGCCGAAGACCGCGGCGACTGGGATGCCAGGTGGCGAGGGGACCTCGGCAGCGAGGCATCGGCGCAGGGAGGCCCCGACGACGCAGGACAGGCACGGCGCGAGTGGAGGAGCCTCAAGCTGGGCCTCTTCCCTGGCGGCGGGCGCAGCTGGGGCAGGAGAGGGGGAGGAGGTCCCACGCGTCCTCCGGGTCATGGCGCGTCAGCGGGGGCTGGCTGCCCTCTGGGTCAGGATGCTCAGCGAGAGCATCGCCCACGTCGTGAGCGTCGGGGGCGCGCGCGAGGAGCCCGCACCGGAGGAGGGCAGCCGCACGCGTCAAATCGATAGCGGGGGAACCCAAGCCGACGCAGTACTGGTAGGACACGTGCTGGAGAAAGTTGGCGATGAACGATGCGTGCTCGGATGACACGTAGAGAGCAGCCCGGAGGCTGCCGGGGGCGCCTGGGTCGACCAGTCATAAGAGTGATCTTTCCCTGGAGAGATCTCTGGTGCGGGCCCAATGGGGTCCCCCAATCACTGAGTGCGAAGCGCTAGCAGCGGCTTGCGTGCCCAGGTTTTGCCACCCCGCGTCCCCCGTGAAGCCGCGCGCCAAAGGTCACTTTTAGTCAGAGTCATTATTACGTGTAGAGCCGACTGCGGCTTGGTGGGCATCCAGGCGAGCGCCATGGCGAGACACCATCTCCAAAGGTGCCCAGGCCGCACAGGGGGCAGCAGCCGTACGGCTAAGGGAGGATAGGGATGTCCGCTTGGAACGGGCCGCGGGAGCTAATGACATCGGTAGCCATCCGCTGGAGCCGAGGAGGATGCGCTGTGGGGGGATGGCAGCCCACAAGTTGGATTCGTCGGCCCCCTCCCGGTAGCAGCCGCGGCACCAGGCTGTCCTGGGGGGTTCCGCCCCTGGCGTGTGCCAGGTGTGCGCGGCGCGCCAAGCACGCTTGCAGGACTCTCAGCACGTGCACCGCGCCGGTGAGAGGGCCGGAGGCTGCGAGGACGTCCCACTCGTGTCCGCCGGTCGGAGCCCATCTGCGCCTCGCCGAGTGGGAGGTAAGCCACCCAGCCGTCGTGCCACCGAGCGCGCACGCATACACACGGAGGGCGCACATTACGCGCGCACTCACGCTATTGATATTGTCCGGTGCACACGCAGGGTGCCCCGGACGAGTTCGTTGACACCCAATTGTGTAGGTACCTAGCGGCCCGCTTCCCGACGCTCGCAATGCCACCACTTCTCTCCCACACATTTCCGAGACTCTGCCTCCGCCCACCAAGCTCTCCAGCCGTGCTTGTGCGCACGCTCACCGCTCATCCTTCCCGCAGGCGCATCTTCATGAGAGCTTTCCCTGAAGTCGTGGACGGCACCACGCCCGAGCAGGCTGGGACACTTGATAGGGGGTTTAGAGGAGCAGGAGGAGGAGGAGGCGGAGGAGGAGAAGCAGCAGCAGCAGCCGCAGGAGCGTCCGTAGCCATTTGGGTTCGAGTGTTCTTCAGGGGCACTCTGCACGGTATCCGATACTCCGATATCGTATGTCTCTCTTCTGCGATGGGAAGTGGAATTCTCATTCGCCATAGGCCATGCGTAGCCTACAGATCCAATATGGGCGAAGCTGCTGAGATCATGCACCATCTGTGTGGTGAAGAGGCGTGTCACAATTTACAGCAGCACCTCAGCGAGTTCAGTCGCCTCATGAGGGAAGCCAGCATTATTCTGGGACTTTCGGGGGCAGCATCTTCGGAAGATGCTCGCAAAAAGGATTAATGTTGAGGGAAGATCACGATTTAGCAACGTGTTTCGCCCTTTGGAGGAAGGAGCGACGTGCGGCTGCCCATCCGCCAGGCCAGCTACGTTCCTCCTCAACAATACTCTTGCCAAGCCCGTGGTGCAGCCTGTGCCCCATGGCTTCCCGAGCCACGAGGCGTGGACGGTGAACGCCAACGACGTGGTCGACGATGACCAGAGCGCCAGCACCACGGAACAGCCCGACGACTCTGAGGTGCAGGCGGCCAAGACGCAGTCGATATTTTGCCGCAGAAGTTCCGTTCAATTGAGCACAACAGCGCAGCCCAAAGCTACGGTCGATTCCGGCATGAAATGGGACCTGACCTGCCGCGCCCATGAACTCGAGTGCCGATGCAATGTGCTGTCGAGCCGTCGCGTCACTGATGGGGCACGTATGCAGTGTGCCGAGGCCATTGTTGATGGGCTCTACACCCTCCACGACGACCCCGAGGTGAACGGTGCAGGCGGACAGGCAGACTACGAGACTGTGATGCCCAAGCGCAGTGAATTGCGTAAGACAGCCCATTCGGGGACTCCAGCAGACATTTCTTCTGCTGTGCTGTTCGACACCCTCGCCGAGGATAGCCAGGAGGGCGGCGACGCCCCCTTGAAATCGGAGGTTACGGGATTACATAAATCCGAGGCGCTGCAGCAGCCGAGGAGAGCACCGAGTGCTCCTCCAAGTCAAGTATCTTCGAGGGCAGGAGATCGTTGTCCAACTTCGTCCGAAGCGATCTCGTTTGTGTTGGGAGCAAACGATTAAAACCTACCCCCCCAGGGACCTCCCAACAAAAATAGTTGGGCAGGCTAATTCAAAATCAGCCGCCAGAGCTGACATTTTCATCGTCTGCCTCCCACCCTGCAAGTCTTCTCCCGTTGTCGTCGTCGTCGTCGTCGACTGCAGCAGGCTTGCGCAGCAACCCCCCGCCTCCCCCTCATAGGGCATCCGCAGTGAGTCGTCGCCGTCGTCGTCCGTCGTCGTCGTCGTCCTCGCCCTCGTCCTCGTCCTCGTCGTCATCGTCATCGTCGTCGTCGACTACAGCGGGCCTTCGCCCCCCCCCCCCCCCAATAGGGTACCCGTAGTGAGTCGTCGTTGTCGTCGTCGCCGTCGTTGTCCGTCGTCGTCGTCGTCGTCGTCGTCGTCGTCTTCCTCGTCCTCGTCCTCATCCTCGTCCTCGTCCTCGTCGTCGTCGTCGTCGGTCGGTTGGTCGGGTGGTCGGTCGGTCGGGGGTTGTCGTCGTCGTCGTCTTCGTCATCGTCGTTGCCGTCATCATCGTCGACTACAGCGGGCCGACGCAGCCTCCCCCCCTCATAGGGCATCCGCAGTGCGTCGTCGCCGCCGTCGTCGTTGTCGTCCGTCGTCGTCGTCCTCGTCCTCGTCCGCTCGTCGTCGTCGTCGTAGTCGTGTCGTCGTCTTCGTCATCGTCTTCTGGTCGGCTCAATCGTCCTCGCGGACGACCGCGGCGACTGGGAGGGGGAGGAGGAGGAGGAGGAGGAGGCGGAGGAGGAGGCGGAGGAGGAGGAAATGGTGGAGGAGGAGGAGGAGGAAATGGAGGAGGAGGAGGAGGAGGAGGAGGAGGAGGAGGGGGAGGACAAGGCAAGGCGGAGGAGGAGGAGGAGGAGGAGGAGGGGGAGGGGGAAGGGGGAGGAGTAGGATGAGGAGGTTAAACCATGTTTTGCTTCAAGGGCATGGTTTGCAAACTTTTGGCGGCCTCGTGGGCCCCCCCGGGCCCCCCAGACAGCCTGGGAGTGTCCGCCCTCCGTCGGCCTGTTCCCCCTCCTCTCGTGTGGGGGCAACCAGGCCGGAGAAATGAGTTGTTTAATCGTCCGCCCCAGAATTAGTTCCCTACCTAGGCTCTGCGTAGAAGGGTTCTTACTCTGTTCGCTTAAAGGGCCGGGCAGTGGAAATCGCCCCGGGCGGTTCTCCCAGTCCCTTGGGAGCCAAGCAAAAGCAACAGCAAAGGTAAAAGCAAACGCGCGGTCCCCCCAGTTGCGCTCCCTGGGTGCCAAGCAGAAAAAAACAAAGGCAACAGTGAAGGCAAAAACGAAGGCACAGCAAAGGCATAGCATAGCATAGCATAGCGCAGCATAGCATAGCGCAGCATAGCATAGCCTAGACTAGCCTAGCATAGCATAGCCCAGCATAGCATTGCGCAGCATAGCATAGCAGAGCAGAGCAGAGCAGAGCATAGCATAGCATAGCGCAGCACAGCATCCACTATTGCTGCTGCTATATAGATATGCTTTCATACTAATGTTGCTTTCCTAGAGGCTCCAACTCCTAGGTGGGGTCGCACTGGGATACTTTTCATTGTTTGATCCCATGTTTAAGGGTTACATCATGTGTGTCTGCGTTGCCACAGTGTCTCCAACATCATTTCTTCATCATTGCCCGCACGTGCTGCTTTGAAGGCGAAGTGCTACATATGTGGCATGAAGTGTGCGATAGCCAGAGCAGCGTACAATTGTCATTCCTGTGAGAGCTTGGCCCATGATGCGTGCAGTTCGGAGTCTCTCAGGCAGCAGTCGGGGTAGATAGGGGAAGAGGCAGTGAGTGAGGGATGCAGTTAGCAGTCGTGCTGCTTTTTTAAGGCAGGTCCTGTTAGAGTGGCACTTGATTATTTAGCCAGCGCAGTGCTTCCCTCGCCACTTCCAGCTCGTAGCCCTTCATCTCAGTACCCCCCCTCCGTAGCTCTTATTCCGCTGCATCTCATTGCCGCTTGTTTCCCGTGGGGGGAGGAGGGGGAGTAAAGGTTTCGAGTATTGTGGCGTGCGTGCGTGTAGGGGTGCGTGTCCAGGGTTGTGCGTGTCTATTGGAGGAGGAGCGGTGGACCTCATCCGCACCCTCCGCACTTGCTGCACACAGATTCGGGAAGTATCGGTGCCATCCTTGTCGTAACGGCGCTTGCCCTCTTAGGCCAGAGTGTGCTTCCCAGTTGCCGCAGAGACGAGGCTGGCACGCATTGCGTCAGAGCGCAGGATGTAGGGCTTGAGGTTTAGGTTTGAGGTTTAGTATTTAGGGTTTAGGCGAACAGTCAGGGCTGCTCGTGTCGTAATGGCAATGGCCTTTCTAGGCCACTTTGTGTTACCCAGCCGGCGCAGATACCGAGGCATCCCCTAGTCAGGGTTCGACGTGCGGGCTAAAATAAGCAACGCGCAGGGCTTTCGCGATTGGCAGGGCCAACCGTGGATAGGGGGGGCGAGGTGATGTTTGGAGCAGGGGATGGATGCATAGCTGTTGGGAATCATCGGGGTCCAATGCTGTTGAGGGCATTGCTTATGTCCCCCTTCCGTTCTACGGAGCTGCGAAGGCCAAAGTTGCCGCCCTGCCGAGCGCAGATGCTCCCCGATACGGGGTCGCGGGGATGGTTTTTTTTCCGTGCAGGCGGGGGAGGTGGAGGAATCGGAGGACCCAGGACCCCTCTCGCCAGCACGAGCACGAGCCTTGCAGCCGATCCAGGCTCGGAAAGGTAGAGAGGCAGTCCAGGCCTCTCGTGCCCGCTCCCCCTCCATCTCTCTCTCTCTCTCTCTTTCTCTCTTTCTAGCTCTTTCTCTCTCACTCTCTTTCCCCTTTCGGTTCTGTTTTGAGCTGTGTGCATGCTTGCGTGTGTCCTGCTCGTCTGGATCGCGATTGCGATGCGACAGCCGCAGGAGCAGGAGGAGCAGCACGAACAGGAAGAGGAGGAGGAGGAGGAACATGAGGAGGAGGAGAAGGGTAAGCGCCGCAATGGCAGGACTTCTTTCGACGCTGGAACCCAGTCCAGTAAATTTCGAGTCGAGTTTGCTCTTCAAGAACGGCTGGCTTGGATGGGGAGCTGGGTGAGGAGGACTCTTTTCGATACTGGAGCCTTGTCCAATAGATTTTGCGCAGTGTGCCTGGGGAGGGCGGGTCGGGCAGCTCTCTACGACGCGGGAAGCATCAAGTGTACTTGCCTTGCTGGGCAAACGCATGGCCTGACAAACAATTTCATCTGAATAGTCACCCGCACGCCTTGGTCGCCTTCGTCGTTTCCTTGAATTCCTTCGGCCAGCCTTCGACGATTCCCTGATGCACATCTCTTGGAAGTGCGTTCCGCCAGCCTCTCCAGGTGGAGGCGGTCTTGGAGCGCGTGCAGCGGGGCGTCGCGGCGGCCCGCAGCTACGGCGGCTTGGCGGAGAAGAGCCCCGGTTTCACGGAGCTCTCGCAGCTGATCGAGGAGCTGCCGCCCTCCGCGGTATGTCGTCTGGGAATAGGCTTGCGTGACATTGGCTCCGAAGCGTCCACGGGTGAGGTTTCCATCTCTCCCGGCCGTGCCAGTCCTGGGGCACCCTCCCAGAGGCAGCGCTGACTCCAGGGGCTTCTCTCCTCTGGGCTGTAGGCACCTTGGCCGGCGCATCTCCCGTGTTCCGCCCCGTGGGCGCCCCGTGGGCGCCTCGTGCGCTGGCTGGCGCTTCGGGGTTCGCTCGGCCAGTGGGCACCCGTGGGTGGGCGCCTCGTGGGCGCCCGCGCCAGCTGGCAGCAGGCAAGCCTAGTGTTGAGATACATCGCTCCTCGGAGGAGGACAAGCTACCCATACCTCTACCCCCTCGCCCGTTTTCCCCTGGTTAGGCCTCCTGGGAGGCCCTCGTCGCCACCACTGGATTCGCCTCGAAATTATGGTCAGAACGCACCCCGGGAGAAATCCAGGGAGTTGCGGTATCGGTACTTTCTGGTTTCCCCAAAACCGCTCCGTTGCGTTCCGGAACGCCCTTGGAGCCTCTCCGAGCGCTCTTCAACGGCCGCGGCGTCCGAGATCAGACCCGCCAGTCCTCCGAGACGCCTCGTTTCTGTGGATCCGGAATGGGCTTCCTGTAGCCTCCGTCTCATGGCGCGTCCAGACGGGTTGCACCACCCAGCTTGCATGTCATAGGCTGCACCGCAGTTTGTCCACAGGGGGACGCCGTGCTGCTCCCGCGGGAAAGGAGGAGAGGGAGGGGGAGAGAAAAGGTTCTAGTTTTCCCACATCCCTCTCTCTCTGACTGTCCCTGCCCCCAGTACCCCGTCTCATGCCATGTCTCGTGGTCATCGTGCCATGGAAAAGTCAGGGACTTAGTCTGCATCACCACCATCACCATCATCAGCATCAGCATCAGCATCAGCATCAGCATCAGCATCAGCATCATCATCATCATCATCATCATCATCATCATTATCATCATCATCATCATCAGCATCATCAGCATCAGCATCAGCATCAGCATCAGCATCAGCATCAGCATCAGCATCATTATCATCATCATCATCATTATCATCATCATCATCACCATCATCATCACCATCATCATAGTCATAATTTCCATCATCACCATCATCATCACCATCATCATCCGTTGCCATTTTGGCTCAAGTACTCGGGTGCCCGCGCCGCGCCGCGCCCCCTCGCGCCCCGCCGCGATGCGCGGCATTGTGGCCTGGCAGCTTCTTCTGAAGCCGTTCACGGCGTCCATCCTCAAGAACTGTCCCTGCCGCTACAAGTTCGCGCATTTGCTGTGCTGCCTCTCAGCATGGGCGATCCTTCTTCCGCAGTCGACCGTGAACGGAGCCCTCGTCGGAAAGGAGACGGTGCCCATGCCTCTGAACCGCTGGCCTCCAAAGACTTTGTTCGCCACCTTCTCAACGATCTCGAGACCAAGCAGGAGGCCTCCCTCAAGCAAAAGCTCGCAGAATTCAATCGCGCGCAGCGCCAGCACGTCGGGCAGCTTCTCCTGTCCTGCGACGAGAAGCTTCAACAACACATCAAGGAAATCACCCTGCGCCAAAACGACATGGATAAGCAGAGCAACGACCTCAAGAACGACACGGAGAAGAAACACAACATACTTGAGAGGGAGTTCGCTGACGTCAAACGGCGCCTCAACCTCGCTGAAGACCATGAGTGGCCCACTCCCGACGAGCTCGCAGAGAATCGGCGACGACGACATGCCCGCCCCGTCGATCCTCAAGGTTCGCACCTCCGCCTTCGCCGCCAAGGGCGCCGTCTGGAGCTCGTTCAAGCAGCTTCTCGAGGCCGCCAACATCAACGAAGACCAGGCCTCCTTATGTGGCCCGCTTGCCGGACGCTCCTTCGAGGTCCGCCTCAAAGGCAGCAGCGCTGCCATCAACGCTACCCGCACTTTCTCTGCCTAGAGAAGGGGCGGGGAGTGGACTAAACTACGGTGCCCGGCCGCCAGTGGAACCGAGGATGCCAATTTTTTCGCCAGCCCAAACACGATCCTGAAGACGGAGCGCAACGATAGGCTCCTCCGAAAACTGCGCAAAGCCGTCATCACATTGTACCCTGGCCTCCAAGGGAAGGTACGCCTCGCCCGCTCCGACGGCATCTTACTCGTCGACTCCGATCCCGTCGCCAGGGTCCTCTCCCCCAAGCCCGGCGAGGTCTTCTACAATTGGCGGCTCACCGTATGCGAAAGCCACAACATCGACAAGGACGCCGTTCTCAGGAAGATCGCCGAGTACGGGAAGGAGCGCTTCGCGGACATCACGTGGGACGGGTAACAGATCTTGGGACTGGGACCCTGCGGGAGTCTCTTCCGCCGGCGTCGGTTTTGCTTTCTGGAACGCTCCGGTTTTCTATGCGCGCAGGTATTGTCAGCGCCTGGACAAAATTGACCACCTCCGACGCTTCCTGAGGACGAACACCGCCGTCTTCATCGCCGAAGCCCGCTGCACCGTCGAGGCCTTTTAATCATTGCTCCCGGATGTGGCGCGCGAGTGGTGGGTCACAGGTGCCGCCGGCTCCCAGAGCTCCAGAGCTGTCATCGCATTGCTCCGGAAATCCTGGACACCTGCCGGGATACCTCCCAAGTGTGACACATTAGCGGAAAAACGGGGCATTCGCATTGTCGTAACGGCGGGCGGTTTCAGCTGGACCGCCTGGGCCGTCCACAACTACAACATCAGCGACCACGACTTCACGAAGATCAAGAGACTCGCCGTAATTATCGGACATTTCTCTTGCGAAAGCCGACCCCCTCTCCAAGTCTGCGTGTTCAAGTTGTCCAGGACCCGCTTTCCCCTGAGCGTCACAGGTTTTCACAGCACGTTTCTGTTCGGACGCACTAGATTGATCTATACACGGCCTACGACACACGCGAAGCCACACACTACGCTAACGGCAAGTACGCCCGCCTAGACCGCATATGCAGCTCGATCCCCTCTTGGGCCATAGGCTCTATCCAGGAAGCGGTCACGGTGCTCGACGACCCCTTGCGGCTACGCCTCCAGAAGATCAGCGACCACGCTGCCGTCATGGTCCACATCGGCCCGAGGCCTGCACGACCAGTTCATCGCCAATGTATTCCTCGAGACGTTGCTCATCATCCACGGTTTCGTGCAATTCACGGCATTATGTGTGCGAGCGTAAACTTGTCGAGCCTGCCCACGGTGGCACGGTGGGGAACCCACAAGGAAGTCATACGGGAGACGGGCCGGACCGTGCGCAACATGATCTTGAGGACCACTCCGAACAGCGACTTCGCGCAGAAGCTTGCCATGGCCTGTCTTGCACGAGCGGTTTGGCAAGACGATTACGTTCTTGCGAAAGCAGTCCTCACCTACTTTTCAAATGGTCGTAACTTCGTCTCGCTCGACGCGGGTATGGTCACCGTCCACAACCCCCACGGTTTTGCCAGCGCCTTCGACGAGAGCGCTGCCGCCAACGCTGCCGCTGATGCCGACCGTCTTGAACAAGATGCTGCGACTCGGGCTTCCCCATCACTCGCCAAGAAGCTCTGCACCCGGGCACGCGTCTTCAAGAGTAAGGCCAAGTTACACCTCCCGTCGTCTAAGAAACTCGTTTTGGACGCCCTCCTGGTGCCGAACCCTCTTGCAGGTGACCTGCTTATTCGCCGCCCGGAGGACCAGGCCAAGGCGCTGGCCAGCGTGTGGGCTCCACACTTCGACAAGCAGTGGACCGACGCCTCCCTCGCCGCTGAGTTGTCCAGCATTGGGCCGTGCCGCTCGACTGGAGCTCCGTGCCGGCGCCCTCAACCTACCTCATCAAGAGTTTCAAGCGCGCGACCGACTCGAGCCCTGACCCTGACGGCCTCGCCTACTCCTTCTGGCAGCACGCTGGCGATTGGGGCGCAGAGACGTTGTGCTCCAAGTTGCGTTCCACATGTTCGCCGGCCTCCCGATGCCGCTCACCTTCAACATGTCTGAGTCCGTCCTCCTGAAAGGCTCCCAGGCAGGCGACGTCGCCGAGATCATCCGAAAGCCAGAGGACACCAGGCCTCTGAGCCTCAAAAACACCGACAACTAATTCTGCTGTGGTATCGTAAATGTCATGTTGCGGGACGGCGCGAACAAGGGCGTCTCCCGTATCCAGCGGGGCTTAGTTGCTCGGCGTCAGCTGACCCAGAACATCGTCGACCTCGACTGTGCGGCTCGGACCTGGGGCCATCCTGCGAACGCATACCGAATGCCAGCCTTAGCCTTCTGGGACATCGCCGCTGTTTTCCCGAGCAAAGGTCATGGCACCACACGTATTTGTGCAGACGACGCGGGAACCGCGATACTCGATGTCAACACGCTGAGGGATTGCCTACGCCTGACACCCCAAGAATGCAAACTCATCCCTCTCTACGCCACGCTCGTGATCCAGATGATTGAATCAATCCGGGGTCAGCTACTGGCGGCTGTACCTCGGGTATCTCATGGGCCCAAACATAACGGACGAGATGTGGGAGGCCCCGACGACAAAATGGCAGCAGCGAGCAGACGCATATTACGATCAAGGAGTGCAACACCAAGGCTGTTCCCACCGCGTTCCACGTTACCCAATTCGGACTCCCGCCGCGCACTCTCGTGCAGACCGAGAACGGCATCATCGACAAGCTCTGGCACGTACCGCCGTCAACCCTCACTACTCGTGGAATGGCGCGAGCGTCCGAGTTCGGGGCCGTCGACGTCATCTCCGTCTCTCTGGCCTGCGTCGCCGCGCTGATCCGCGCTGCGTTTGCTACTCTGGACTGGCGTGCGCCGCTGGCCGAACTTCGACGTGCCGATCTTCGTGCTGCTCCTGATCGCTCGCTCGCTGATCTCGCACGTCCTGTTCCTTTGGCACCACATTGGAAGACGCCAGCACTTGCATGGACACTGGAATACGTCGCCACCAAGAGGCCTTTGCCTGTCTCCAAAGACCTTCAGAGGGCCATGGCAGCCGCCGTCAACCAGATCACGAAGAGCCTGGATTCGAAGAAAGGTGCCCCAAAAAGTGCTTATCTCATGCTTAAGAAGATGATTTTCCAGCCCAGCATTCGGGACATGCTCAAGGTCCGTCTGCACAGGCACTGGCCGGAGCACACTAGCGACATCAACGGCATCGACTTCGACACCCTCATTGCCACGATGAGGAAGACTCGCGCTCGCATCTCGTCCTCGTGCCTGAAAACGCGGATGGGCGGATGGACGACAAGTGCCGGATTGCACGAGGCAGCTGTTCACAGGTTCCTGTTTGGCTGCTCTGCGGCGGACGACTGGGCTCACTACGCCGACTGCCTCCCGCTGTGGTCCGCGGTGTACTCCACGCTGGGCGCGCCTCCGCCGACCCAGAGGTTCGAGTGCATTGGCCTTCGTGCCCAGCGCCCGGAGGACCTCTACCCTGTGTTAATCGCGTTTGAGACGTACCACAAATTGAAACACGGACATCTCAAAGAAGCTCTCCACGCACGTCAACAACATGATTACCAAGTACTTCGCGCTCTGACGGACCTCCTGGCGATGGCAGCCGCGCGGTTAGTTCAGAAAACACCCGGCTGTCCGCAGATGGTATGGGCATCATCGCCGTCATCATCATCATCATCATCATCATCATCATCATCATCATCATCATCATCATCATCATCATCATTATCATCATCGTGATCATCATCATCGGGATCATCATCAGTGCCATCACTGTCATCATCATCATCACCGAATCCCAGTATTCACCACCACCGCCGTCATCATGGATATCGTTGTTGCCACCGCCCTCTTCAAACTCTTGCGCGCGCCCACATCCGCATCACACTCCAGCGCCAGCGTCATCATCGCCAGCTGCATACTTGCCACCGTCCACTTCATCTCCATCGTCGCCGTCGTCGTCATCGCCCCCAGTATCGTCATGAACCGCCTCATCGTCATCGTCGCTTTCGCTGCCCATTTGAATGTTGCCCAGAAGTTGCTGGCGTGCTGGCGGGATGTTCGCACGATAATTGGGGGTAGCCACGCGTGGATGCTGTCAACACCAATCGCACCACATAGTTTACCGCATACCTTGCACAACATAGCTTGCATCATATAGCTCACACCACACAGTTTACACATCCACAGTGCAATATTTCACTGTGTTGGGTTCACGCTGGCAAGCATGCATATGTGTAGATGTTTTTGACATTGAGTGCAGTAGGTTGCGCCGTACACAAACTGCACTAGAACAAGAACAGGTCAGATCGAGGATGCAATAACCCATTGCTTGGGATCCCCGCTGGCACACATCCAAAGAGATTCGGACGTGGTGGTCCATTCCGTTTGATTTGAAAGCGCGTTCAGTGGAGGTGACCGGGAAGGGATTGGGAGTTCGGAGTAGCTCACTGTGCATCAGCACAACTTTGCTCTGTGCAGGTCAGCTCTTGCTTTAGCTAAGCCTGTCGTGGCCTACGGTAGCATCACTTAGCTTAGCACGGGCCAGATCGGCTCGATTCGCCCCAGCCCAGGTCAAGGGCGACCCCTGCATCATCATTCTCCTCGTCATCCTTACTCGTCGTTCCTATTTCCTCGCCCCTCCTCCCCCATTCTATCCTCACTAATGCGTTTGTATTCATCACACTCGTTGCTTTTCTCATCCCCCCCCGCGTCATCACAACCGTCCTCCTCGCCCTCCCCCCTTCCCTCCTCCTCTGTCTCCCCTCGACGCCCTCCTACCGCTCCCCCACCCGTCCTGACAGGACCTGCAAGTGCAGTCCCAGGTTCTGAGGACCGGGGGCACCGAGGGCGTCAAGATCGACCTTCCGGCGACGGTAGCTCGGGCCGTAGCGCCATGGCGGCGGCGACGACGCTCGCGACGAGGACGACGATCAGTATGGTTTAATCAATCCTTATACCCACCAGGCTATGGTATCTCAGCCCCACTTTCTCAGCACTCCAGTTGGGGATATCTTACCCTTCGAAACCCGAAGGCGACAGCCTGTCTCCCACGCTGGGGGTCAAATCGGGTGGTGGGGCCCATGCCAGGCCAGAGGGGATAGGGATCGGTCAAATTGATGTTCAGACGACGAAGTTGACGACGACGACGACGACGACGACGACGACGACGACGACGACGACGACGACGACGACGGCGGCGGCGGCGGCGGCGGCGGCGGCGGCGGCGGCGGTGACGCGGTCGCGGCGACGACGACGACGACGATGGCGACGACGACGGCGACGACGACGACGACGACGACGACGACGACGATGGCGACGACGACGGCGACGACGACGACGACGACGGCGACGACGACGACGATGACGACGATGACGACGATGACGACGGCCGCCCAGGCAGCCCCAGCCTCGGCGGCCGCCGGAGTTGTCAGGGCCGCCTCCAAGTTCCTGACCGCCGCGGGCCGGCGATAGCCGCAGCCGCGCCCTCGGCGGCCGCGCGCCGCGGCCGCCGGCGGTGGCTCGCCGACGGTTCAAGCAGTGGCGGGGTCGGGGGCGGCAGGGGGGGGGTGGATGGCCAGGGGGGGTGGGTCTCATGGCGGGGGCCATGATACCTTTCCAGGTTTCACGGCGCCTCGGCTAATCTCAATACGTCTCCTCTTCCTCCTCCTCCTCAGGGGGGGCGGCGTGGCGAGGCCCGAAAGGATATCTTGATTGCACGCAGGTCGGGAGCCACTTGCGCGGCTTTTCGGCCCAGCGCCGCTTGAGGTGGCGGCGGAGGGGAGGGGGGGGATGCCATGCAAGTGAACTAGCCAGAACAGAATCCTTATAAGAGGAGGGAGGGGGGATGAAGGACGGAGATCAGGGGCAACGTTCGGGGGACAGGATCAGGGGCGGATGCATCGACCCTCAATCGCCTATAGATCGCCGATGGGGCCGATAGGCCCACCCCGCTCGCAACCGTGCGGATTCGCTATCGGCGTGTCGCCGATCTATCGGCGATGCATCGCCAAATCCAGGTCGATGTTTCCCTCCCTAAGCCAGTCCCCCCCCCCACTTTCCCCCTCGGGGGAGGGGGAGGAGGAATAAGGAATGAGGAATGGGAATGGGAATGACAGTAGACTGTTAGGCCGAACCGAGGCCCGCTGAAGGCGGCCTCAGCAGCTCCGACCTGGCGGCGCTTGCGAGCACAGTGCCGCAGGGCTCGTGCAAATTTAAGCACGGCCCGCTCTGAATCTGCGGGGGGGGGTCGCAGTTCGGGCCAGGCGGCCCAGCCGCGCTTTCCGACCTTGGCCAGCGCTCAGCCTCGCACGAGGCGGCATAGTCTGACCAGAGGGAAGGGGCCTGCGGAGGTGTTGGTGGAGGGACGTGCGTTTGACTCCGCGGTGTTATGCGATGAACGGCTCGGCCTCCATGTCTGCCATCCACCCATCCACGGTGTGCGCGAGGCACGCGTTCCAGTCATCATCGGATTCGGGTCACGCGCACGCGACCCTGAGGGTGAAGAGCGGCCGTGGACACGGCGTGAGGTTAGAAGAGTTCGGCTCCACTCGAAACCCAAAGCTCTTGCTCGTTGCTCAGATGTCTGATGCGGCCGATGTATTGGCGATGCGGCGCGATCCTCCGACCCCATCTACTCGGCCATCCCAGGGGCTTCTAAAGGAGCTGCCCAGTGATGGGCCACCGACTTGCCAGGAGACCAGGACAGATGTTTTTGCGGAGCGCTAGAGCGGGCCCTCTGTAGAGGAGAAAGCAGGCCCGCGCTGTAAAGTTCGCTGCCCGGGACATGGAATCTGGAAACTTTCTAGAGGGGGCCCCTGAGAGGTTTACGGAGGCTTGAACATCGGGCGTCGAGTCATGGAGGGGCCATACGTGGGAAGGGGTGGAGAATGGCGCACCTTTTGTGCCCTACAGGGGCCTTAAAGGGGCCCTCCGGGACCCAGAAAGGACACGAAAGGTGCACGTGTCTCGCCTCCCCCCAGCTTAAGGCCCCCCGAAATTGATCAACGCCTAAGAGAGGGTCCGAAACGTTCAGACATTTGGAAGACTGGTTCCAGTTCTCGAGTGTCGTCGGCAGAGATCTGCATGCAGAGGAGGAGACAGGCGGGAGGGTCTGCCTGACGCCTGCTGCTTCGCCGGCGCTGGGGAGTGTTCGCCGACGGAAAAAATGCGCGAGGTCGGGCTGGGCCGCGCGCTGTGCGGGAGCGCTCCTTGCGGGATCTTCTCGTCCGCGCTGGGCGGCCCGCGGTCAGCGGCTTGCATCATTGAGCAGTTTTAGGTGTTCAGACGATTAGGGAATGGGCGTCCTTCGGAGGCCCTGAGGCCTCTTGCAGCCGTCTTGGGGCCTGTTGGAGGCATGTTGGAAGCCGCATTGAGCCCTGTTGGACAATATTGCGAAGGCCCAACGGCCGGTGCCGCCGACTCTGAAGAGGACCACGACGTCGGCGACGAAGTGGGCGGAGACGGAGGCCGTGGAAGATGGGGAGGAGGAAGCGAGGAGGAGGGGGAGGGGGAGGAGGAGGAGGAGGAGGAGGAGGAGGAGGAGGAGGAGGAGGAGGAGGAGGAGGAGGAGGAGGAGGAGGAGGACGAGGAGGAGGAGGAGGAGGAGGAGGAGAGGAGGAGGGAGAGGAGGGCGAGGAGGAGGAGGAGGAGGACGAGGAGGAGGACGAGGAGAAGGAGGAGGAGAGGGAGGAGGGAGGAGGAGGAGGAGGAGGAGGAGGAGGAGGAGGAGGAGGAGGAGGAGGAGGAGGAGAGGAGGAGGAGGAGAGGAGGAGGGAGGCAGGGGGGGAGGAGGAGGAGGAGGAGGAGGAGGAGGAGGAAGAGGGGAGGAGGAGGAGGAGGAGGAGGAGGAGGAGGAGGGAGGAGGAGGAGGAGGAGGAGGAGGAGGAGGTGGAGGAGGAGGAGCAGGAGGAGCAGGAAGGTATCCGAAGAGATGGCTCCGGCGGCGCCAGAAAGCCTCGATCCTCGAGCCTGGGGTCCGGAGGAGGAGGAGGAGGAGGGAGAAGAAGACGAAGAAGACGAAGAAGAAGAAGAAGAAGAAGAGGAGGAGGAGGAGGAGGAGGAGGAGGGGGAGGGGAAGTTGTCCTACATGTTCAGTCTTTCGTCATTTTCGGCCTCCAGGGGCCATTTTGGGAACCGGGAAGCCGCGCGGGGTTCTGGAACCGCGCGGGGACCGCGCCGGACGCGCAGGGAGTGAAAGCGTACGAAACCCCCCGGGACCCCCCCCCCGGACCCCCCTGGGACCTCCCAGGGACCCCCCCGGGACCCCCCCGGGACCCCCCCGGACACCCCTCACCCGCCGGGGAAGGGACAAAGGGAAGGGGATTCCCTTCGACGTGGTTACGACATGGGTCGATTTCCCTCAAGCTCGCTAGAGCACTGTAACGACGACGACGACGACGACGACGACGACGACGACGACGACGACGACGACGACGACGACGACGACGACGACGACGACGACGACGACGACGAACGGCACAGCCCCTCACACACGCCGACAGGGTCGGCGGATTTTGCCACCTTGGAGACAATGTTTGGACATCTTGGAGCAATCTTGGCCCGACCGTCTCCCGATGATGTCATCGACAAGCGCACGCATTCTTTCTATCTGATGCAACGGTTGCCTGCAGCCGCCCAGGCCGTCGGCACAGCGACCGCTGGCACCTAAGCCGCCTCCAGCTCGCAGGCTGGATACATGCGCGTACCTGCGCCCCGCCACCACCCAGACCCGCTCGCCGACCCAGACTGGCCCACGGAGCGCGCCAATCGGGGCTGGAACGAGGCGGAGAGCCCCACGCCACACCGACACCCTGTGCAAAACGCCGCGGCGACGCATCACCTTCCTGCGCACACAGGTACGCCGCGGCCATATGGAGACCTGGCCCCAGGTTGTCCATAGGCTCAAACCAGATTGCGGAGCCCTGTTGGTGGAAGGGTGGCATGCAGTCTGCGACCAACGTGATCAGCGTGGCAGAGGTGGCGGGCGGTACAACCCACATGGGCACGACGAATTCTTCTGCCGTCAGCTCTTGGACGACTGGCATTTCGACATTCGAAGCCTATGTTGGGGTCGCGGCATCCACATCACCTGGGACGACGTCTGGAGTAGGCAGCGCGAACATGACGATTGGCGCTATGACCGGGCCACCGGCGCTGGCAAGGGCCCCCAGGGCAGGGGTTTACCACCATCGGACAAAGGCAAAGGGAAGCGCGCGCCCGATGCGTCCTGGGACCGCGCACCAGCGGCCAGACCTAGGCGCTCCTAGCCTGGCGTCTGCAGCCCGCCGACGCTACCTACTTGGCCAGACGCCGCGGTGCGCCGCACCCTCCTCGACGACCCGTTCGCAGCAATCAATGGCATACTGCGCCCACCTGCAGCGCCCACTGCACGATGCTCGAAGAGTGCCCCTGAGAGCCAGCGCTTTGCTCTCCCCTTGGGTGCACCCGCCCGGGCGGATACCTCCGCTCACGCCGCCCAGCTGCTTGGGTCATCCTAACCCCTGGCCTTGGGCACACCCTGCCCTCCTTCCTGCGCGTGCTGGCCGTCGGGGCGGCGCGCTGCACTTCTTTCCCCGTGCCGTGCACCATGCCTGTGCTTTCCTGGTCTCCCGCCTGCGTGGCTGCCTCCCGCGCCCGCTGCCACCCGCTGCCCCAGCTGCAGCGCTCGGCTTCTCCTTCTTCTACGCGGCTCTGCCGCTCCCCCCTGCGCAGCTGGCCGCTGCATCCCGCTGCCGCCTCCTCTCCTGCCCCCCGCCGCTACCGCTCCCAGCGTCAGCGGCCGCTGCGTGCTGTCCGTCGGGGCGGCGCGTGGCACTACTCACCCGTTCGCTGCACCATTCTGGTGCTCCCCTGGCCTCCCTGCCAGCGCGGCTGCAACCCGCAAGCCACCACGTGCTGTCCGTCGGGGCGGCGCGTGACCTCTCCCCCTCCCGCGCCACCCGTGCGCAGCTCCTGGTTCGCCGTCACGTGCTGTCCGTCGGGGCGGCGCGTGGCTCTGAGTTCCCCTGCCTGCTGCACCATTCCGGTGCCCAGTGGCGCGGCTCTCCTGCCGCTACCCTCCTCGGCTCCGCCCTCTAACCCGCCGTCTGCGTCCGATATCGCAGTGCGGCCGCCGGCGCGCCCGCGCCCGTCTCTGCCCGCCGAGCCCGAAACCAAAGCATGAAGTGTTATGTTGCGGCGAGTGCGAACATGAGGACACAAATGTTGAAGCCGCCGCGACGAAGACGAAAAAACAAGACGCACCAGTGAGCAGGGCCATGCCCAGCAGTTTCGCCGAGGTGTTTCTGCATTGCAACCAATGTCGCGCGCGCGCTGTCCTTTTTCCGGGTGCTTCATGCGATCGCTGGAGACATGGAAGTCCATGTTCATGTCTAATATGTTCTATAGGCTTACATACGCCACATCCGCCGACCCCTCTATAAACTATTGCGCGTCCAGGACTGCATTCCACGAGGCTTGTCCGATTCCTGGGAGCTTCTTGGGGGCGTTTGGGGGCTCTGTTCGGGCTCCGTGGGGGCTTCTTGGGGCGTGTTGGGGGGTTTCTTGAGGCAACCTGGGGGCGTCCTGGGGCCGAAGGCTGGAAATGTGGATTCGGGTTCCCCCCGTGGGCCCCCTTTCGGCGCCGTCTGGGGGCCCTCTGGGGCCGTCATCGGGGCTTCTTTGGCGGTCTTGGGACCCTTGTGGGCCGTCTTGGAGCCGTCCTAGGGGTCTTTTGGGCCGTCTTGCACGGTATGAAAGCGCAAAAGGCGAATATGTTTAAAACATAAGTTGTCCAAGGGGAATGGGGCAATGTTCACTTCTTCGGTGCCTTTTGGGAGGCCTCTTCGAGGCCTCTTGGGGCGTTTGGATGCATCTTGGGCCGTCTGGATGCCATCTTGGGCGTCTTGGAACGATCATTCGACGTTTCGGGGCCCTCTTGGATCGTCTTGGGGCCCGCTTGAGGCCCTCTTGGCCCGTTTTGGGGCCCTCTATGCTCCCATGGCGCGTTCTTCCGGGCCGGGGGGGGGGGCGTTCGTCCGCTCCGGGGGGAGAGATCAAATCTCTGGTTTGGGGTCCTTGGGGGCGCCATGGGGGGGGGAACAATCTCACACGCCTAGAGACCCACAAGGGGTCGTCAGATTTGTGCTTGTTTCGTGGAACCGTCTTCGAAATTAATTTGCCCGTTTCTGTTTCGGAAGCGCTGAGCCAACGCGTCACTTCATGTCTATGAAAAGCCTAATTGGCCGAACGTTGTAGCCAGAACTCGGCCAATCCTTCGGACCACGCGTTCCCCCAGCCGCTGTGGACACCATTCGGGGAACACGCGCTGGAGGAACAAGATAATGAGGAGAAGGAGGAATCAGGAGCAGGAAGAGGAGGAGGAGGAGGAGGAGGAGGAGGAGGAGGAGGAGGAGGAGGGGGGGGGGAGGGGAGGAGGAGGAGGGAGGAGGAGGAGGAGGAGAGGAGGAGGAGGAGGAGGAGGAACAGGAGGAACAGGAGGAGGAACAGGAGGAGCAGGAAGCGGAAGAGGAGGAGGCGACCTCTTGGGAACCACTTGGGGCACCCTTGGCGCCTCCTGGGATCGCGGCGCCTTACTGGGGGCCTCTGAGGCCGTCACTCGGGGTGATTTTTGGAGCACTTTGAGCCGCCTTGGAGCGTCGGGAAGCTGGAAAATCAGAAGCAATTCGATTTTGTGCGTAACCAGCTCAATGAATGATGCCTCCTGGGGCCCTCGTGGGAGTGCTCTTGGAGGCTTCTGGGGGCGTCCACGGGGCGCCCAGGAGGCCCCCGCGGGCGGCCAACGGCGGGCACCAAGCGAAACCGTGGCAGACCCACAGCGCACGGGGCGCCCACGAGGCACCACGGGCGGCCCGCAGGCGGGCAGCAGACGAAACCCTGGCGGACCAACACAACACATGGGGCGCCCACGAGGCCCCTTCGACCGGCGACCAACCAGGCGCCGAGTGAAACCCCGTCGGTCCGGTCCAATTCTTCACGGATGACAAGTTGGATCCCTGAAGTGCAAGTATTGCTTTGAGAACGCACAGGCCTATTGAAGACGCCCACGGCGAGTCACCGCCGGCCGCCCTCTGCTTTTCTGGAAACGCCGGTGTGGCCAAACGTTAGGCCAAAGATTGGCCAAGGTTTTGGATTATGTGTTCCCGCAGCTGTCGTGCAAACCATTGGACGAACATTCGGGAGAGAAAGAGAAGGGGATTGAAAGAGGGAGGAGGAGGAGGAGGAGGAGGAGGAGGAGGAGGAGGAGGAGGAGGAGGAGGAGGAGGAGGAGGAAGTGGAGTCCTCTTGGGGGCCTCCTGAGGGCCTCCAGGGGGCCTCCTGGTCCCCTCTTGGGGGCATCCCCTTTGGGCCTCATGGGCCCTCTTAGGGGCCCCTGGGGGCCTTTGGGGAAGCCGTCTTGGGGTCATCAAATGGGCCATCTTGGGGCCCTCTCTTGGAGATCTCTGGGGCCGTCGCGGAGCCTTCTTGGGGCCGTCTTGGGGCCATCTTGGGGCCGTCTTGGGGCCCTCTTGGCCGGCGTCGGGGCCCTCGTGGACCCTCCCCAAGGGGGCTGCCGGGGCGTCTTGGGGCTATCTTGGGGACCTCTGGGGCCGTCTTGGGCCGTCGGAAGCCCGAAAGGGCGAGAACGCGAAAATTTTTCAAACATCCCAGAACATCGACTGATCTTGGCTTCTCTGGGTCCTCCCAGAGGGCCTCTTGAAGCCATTATGGGCCGCATTGGGGGCTTATTGAACCGTCTTGAGGCCATCTTGGGCCATCTGTTGTCAGTCTTGGGCCGTCTTAGAGGCATTTGGGGCCATCTTGGGGCCTCCTGGGTCCATATTGACCTGGAGGCCATCTTGGACCGTCTTTGGGGGCCATCAGGCGAATTTTCAGGATGTTCTGGTTTTTCGCGTGGCCAGCGGGACGAGCCGAGACCCAACTTGGAAGCATCTCGAAGGGCCAAAAAAAGATCGAAGATTTGGCACACCGTGCACCCCTCTGCAAGCAGAAGGTGGCGGCGTATCGAGTGGCCGTCGTCCCAACCCGACGCCGTGCCAGGGGCTCGAAGACGGCCGAATACGCTCCTGGCAGTTCACATCGTAGCCCGCACAAGTTTCATGGGCCCTCACTTCTTCCACATCTTTGTCCTTGTACTCCTCACGCTGTCCTCCTCTCCTTTCACGCTGTCGCCCTCCTACCCCTCCTCGTTGATCTCGTCATTCTCCTCCCTCTCATGCTCAATCTCCGCGTCTTTATCCACATCATCCTTGTGCTTGTATTCCTCTTTAGTCCTCCTGGTCTTCCTCGTTGTCCTCCCGTCATCCACACTGTCCTCCTCTTCACCCGCCTCCTTGTCGTCCTCCTCACCCTTGTTCTTCTTTGTCCTACAAGCCGAATGGACACAAGTGGCGTTCTCTGTTTTTGTCCTCCAGTCAAGTTCCGTGAGCCCAGCGCATGTTGTTTTGAACATTGCCTGGCTCATTGGGGTTTGCGAGAGCCGCACTAGAGCAGCATCTTGTTGCCAGGGGACTTTGTTGGGATACGTGCGATTCTGATTATTGCGTGTCTACCGCCACTGCCAAGAGCTGCTGCGATGGCACGCACTCGGTCCAGGCAGTGTAACTTTGGCTTCAGCCAGGTGTGTCAGATGCCGCTGTCGCCCATATAACGAATGGGCAGCGATAACAGATGGCATGGAAGGACATGCGCTAAGTTTAGCCTGTTGCATAGCAGGCGGCTTGTGAATGACAGGATTGCGGCATTCTCAGCATCCAAGCGTCTACGTGGGCGTGCAGTCGCACTGCCATGATGGAGTTCGACTCTTAATGTTGGTGTGTGCTTGCGTCCTTTGCGCCCTTTGAGCTGTCGATCACCACCAGCACCATCGTCCCCCCTTGTATAGATAGTTCGGCTCATGCTCGGGCACACAACCTGGTAATCGAACCATTGACATACACCATACGCCTTACTTCGAAGACCTCTTCTCGTCGGAAGGATAATGTCGTTGCATGTGCAGCGTACCATGGACAAGGGGCTCCACATGGTGAGTTCGTTGAGCAGCAGGCACGCGGCATTCATTGTGTTCGTCTCACTCTACATCTGGGTTCTCCCGCTGTCGACGACCCACTTGCTCTTGGCTGCCTTTGGCGCTGCCTGCTATTGGGCTATGCTGATGATTCAGGAGCTCGGTTCCTGCCAGGGCAAGCAGGCCGCGGAGGAGTGGCGCGCTGACACTGCCGCCGCCAACGTGGAGCGGCCTTCAGCTGATGAAGCACAACCAGCGGCGCGGCTGGCCCCGCGCGCGCGGCGGTGCGTGGCCGAGCCGCAGCGGAAAGATTCCGACTTTGCGCCGCCCCCGGCGACCGCCCAGGCACCTGGCCCCGAGACGACCCGGGCGACCGACAAGGATCAGAGGATGAAAAGGTACACATCTTTCCTACCTTTCCCTCATTTTCCCCTTTTTGGGCCTCTTGGGAGGCCCTCGTCGCCACCGATGGATTCCTTTCGGAATCCTGGTCGGAACGCACCCCGGGAGGGGTCCGGGGTGTAGCCGTATCGGCACCTTTTAGTTATCCCAAAGGACCACGCCAGCGCCAAGGTGCGTGCACCGAACAAGGCGGCTGCCGCACACGGCGACGCCGCCACACGCGACGGCCAGCGCCTTCCCGAGGCGGCCACCACGCACCGCGCCGCCGCCGCCGCCCCGAGGCCCGAGGGCAGGGTGCCGCTGTGCGCAGGGCTCGCTGCGGTACGCAGGGTGGTCGACAAGGAGGCCCAGGCGGCCACGGCGCCCGTCCGCAGGGCGGGTGCCGAGGCTCTGGTTGACCCTGAAGGGGGTCCAGCTACAAGGGGGTGGTGCAACAGATCTGGTGCAATAGATTCGTGTGTTGCATAGGTTTGGGGCGTGCAGTACAATCTGGGGCGCAAATGTGTTTTTGGATTTTCGCGTGCAATACATTATAGTTGCACTACAATGCAATCAATTTCTCTGGCGCAGTACATTTGCAATCCAATTGCCCCAAATCTAGTGCACCACCCCCTTTCAGCTGGACCCCCTTTTGGGACACCCAAAGAGGCGGCTCCGGCCGCGGCTCCGGCGAGCCAGGAGAAGGTCGAGCAGCAGCCGTCCGTAGCTCCGTCGCCAGCGGTGGTGCCTCCGCTGGCTGCCGATGGCTTCGAGGTGGCCGCCGTGACCAAGGCCGCCAAGCGCAGGAAGGCCGCACAGAAGAAGCTGAATGAGGCCTCCGAGGCATGCCGCGCGAAGCCAGTCGAGCCCGAGGTTGTGGCGACAGAGACCTCCGAGCCGCAGGCCAAGCCCGGATTGCCGCCTGGGCTGGAGCCCGCCACGGAGGAGCTGCCGGCCAGCACCCGGGCCGAGTGGGCCACCACGCCGTCCGCAGGCATGCAGGCGAGTGTGATCCGCCCCGCGACCCTGCCGCCAACCTACACGCCGTCGGTGCAGCAGACTCCTCAGGAGAAGAAGGAAAGCGCGCCGACAGCGATGAGCGCTCCGCCCACTCCCGTGGCGCCCCCGCAGGAGTCGGCCGCCAACGTCAAGCGCTCAGGCGTCTACATCTACAACCCCAACGCGGACAAGCTCCCCATCCGGCTGGACGCGCTCGTCACGAGCCCGAGCCCGGAGAACATCCTCGCCCTGGCGCCGCCGCCCGCGGCGTCGTGGGACCGCTGCGTCGAGCTGTGCTCGCGGGAGGACGCCTGCTGGGCCTACCTGAAGACGGGCCGCTGCCCCCGCGGGGCGGCCTGCACCTGGATGCACCCGCCGCTGCCGCGCCGCGGCTGAGGCCTCGCGCCGAGGAGCAGAGGCCGCAGCGCCCTCGGGCGTCGCTAGGTCGTGGGCTGCGGGCGCCGCCCTCGACCCCTCCGTGTTCATTCGGCGGCGAGCCTCAGACGAGAAAACGGCACCCATACCTCTGCCCTTGCCTCGTGTTCGCCTTTTTGGGCCTCCTGGGAGGCCCTCGTCGCCACCGCTCAGAACGCACCCTGGGAGAGGCCCAGAGAGTAGTGGTATCGGTGCTGCTTGGTTTCCCCAGGGCCCGGGGGGGAGTGAGAAGGGGCGGGCCTTCTCAGAAGGCTTGGAAGCCCCCCGGCTTTCCGAAAAGGTGTTCGAAGCCACCCCGAAGGCGCAGGAAGCTGCTCAGAAGGCGCGAGGGCTTCTGAGAAGTCCCGCCGCCTTCTTCTGAGAAGGCCTTCCTCTTCTCCTTTCCCCCACTCGCTCGCCGCCGATTAATGCTGTTCATCATCAGCTGCAGCGTGCCGTGGGCACTTTGGACTGAACGCCGATGGAGCACCAGCTCAATAGGTATCGGTGAACAAAGAAGAAAGCAGTCCTCACTGCCATGGTCACCAGCGTCTGGATCTGCCTCGCCGCTATCATTGAAATTCGTCCGTAAGAGTATGTGCTCAAATAGTCGGTTGCGTCTGCTACGTGGGTTTGTGTGGCTTTTGGTTCGTGCCTCACACGAGGCTGTTGATTGTTCGTTGTCGCATGGGGGGCAGCGAGATGAGCATGGGCGCCAGCACCGAGTTACGGCAAGACAGTGCGCTTCTTTGCTGACGCTTTGCGTGTCCCCTGCAGCCCTTCGAAGAGCAGTTTCTGAACTCCATGTCTTCTGGCGGCATCCGGAATGAAACAAAGGGAGGGCTTCATTAGTATAGCCATGGGACACTTCCTCCCAATCAGACGATCGACAAGTCAATAAGCAACCAGGAGCACGGGTGCGCTTAAACGCGCGCATGTCCGCCTGCAGGTTTTGTTGGGAGCATTTGCCACAACAGCTCCTGGAATCTTGAAGCGAGCTGTCTCCCGCTGGCATGCTTTTTACCTAACAGCGAAGACTGATAGGTTTCTAGTGGTGTCAAAAGAGAGCATCTTGACGCCCCAGGGGGGGTCTGGGTGGGACCCGGGCAAAACCGGCAGAATCCGGCAGCCCCAGGACTCTTTAGGATTTTTTTTTAAGAATTCTTAGGAATCCTTGGGAATCCATTCCCAGAACACCATTCCCAGGCCACATTCTGAATGCCCGGAGCTAACTGTAGGCCACTTCGTGTTCTTCGTGTTCCCAGAACACAATTCCCAGGCCACATTTTGAATGCCCGGAGCCAACTGTAGGCCACTTCGTGTTTTTCGTTTTCCCAGAACACAATTCGCAGGCCACATTTTTAATGCCGGAGCCAACTGTAGGCCACTTCGTGCTCTTCGTGTTCCCCGAACACAATTCTTGTGCCATATTTTGAATGCCCAAGCTGAGGCAGGCTGAGGCCGAGGCAGGTTGAGGCCGAGGCAGGCTGAGGCTGAGGCTGAGGCACGCCGAGGCAGGCTGATGCTGAAACTGAGGCAGGCTGAGGCTGAGGCAGGCTGAGGCTGAGGCGGAGGCAGGCTGAGGCCGAGGCAGGCTGAGGCTGAGGCTGAGGCAGGATGAGGCTGAGGCAGGCTGAGACTGTGGCTGAGGCAGGCTGAGGCTGAGGCTGAGGCTGATGCAGGCTGAGGCTGAGAGGCTGAGGCTGAGGCAGGCTGAGGCTGAGGCTGAGGCCGAGGCAGGCTGAGGCTGAGGCTGAGGCTGAGGCCGAGGCAGGCTGAGGCTGAGGCTGAAGCTGAGGCAGGCTGAGGCTGTGGCTGAGGCTGATGCAAGCTGCGGCTGAGGCAGGCTGAGGCTGAGGCTGAGGCTGAGGCTGAGGCAGGCTGAGCTGGGATGCTAACAATAAGTTCTAATTTTATGAACTTAGACTTACGATCCAGACGGCAGAAGTAAAAACTTATGCATGCCAACGAGATCAACCGTTGATCGTACATGAAATCAGATGAAATGGCGGGTAGTTTCGAAAGCACGCGTTTTTTTCTTTTGTCGGGCTGCGCTCGGTTTTCGAACTTGCGCAACTACTTTGGATGAGAATTGACGACCTGCGCAGCCTGTTTGATTGGGAACCGACGAGCTGCGCAACCTTTTCCGCTTCGTTGGGCTTTTTGGAAGAGAATTGACGATTTGTGCAGTTCTTGAAGTGGGAACCGACAAGTTGTGCAACCTTTTTCGTTTTTGTTTTGTCGTGCCGGGCTCGGTTTTCGAAGCTGTGCAAAAACTTGGAAAAGGGAATTGTGGACTTGTGCAGCTTTTTGGTTGGGAGCCGACGAGTTGTGCAATTATTTTGAAACAGAACCGACGCGGTTCCCAGTCAAAACAGTTGCGCAAGTCGTCAATTCTCCATGAAAAAAAGCTGCACAACTTCGAAATCCGAGCCCGGCCAGACAAAACGAACAAGGTTGCACAGACCGTCGGTGCCCAATCAAAAAAGCTGCACAAGTCGTCAATTCTCTTTCAGAAAAGCTGCATAAGTTCGAAAACCGATCCTGGCCCGACAAAACGGAAAAGGTTGCACAAGTCGTCGGTTCCCAATCAGAAAAATTGCACAAGTCGTCAATTCTCTATCATCAAAGTTGCCCAAGCTCGGAAACCGAGCTAGGCCCGATAGAACGGAAAAGGTTACACAAACCGTCGGTTCCCAATCAAAAAAGCTGCACATGGCGTCAGTTCACTTGGAGAAAAGCTGCGCAACTTCGAAATCGCGCCCAGCATGACAAAACAAAAAGGGTTGCACGACTCGTCGGTTCCCACTCAAAAAAAGCTGCACAAGTCGTCAATTATCTGTCAAAAAAGCCGCACAAGTTCGAAAACCGAACCCGGCCCGACAAGACTAAAAATGTTGCACAACCCGTCGGTTCCCAATCAAAAAAGCTGCACAAGTCGTCAATTCTCTATCAAAAAAGCCGCACAACTTCGGAATGCGAGCCCGGCCCGACAAAACGAAAAAGGTTGCACAGACCGTCGGTGCCCAATCAAAAAGCTGCACAAGTCGTCAATTCTCTTTTAGGAAAACTGCACAAGTTCGAAAACCGATCTTGGCCCGACAAAACGGAAAAGGTTGCACAAGTCGTCGATTCCTCATCAAAAAATTGCACACGTCGTCAATTCTTTTTCAGAAAAGTTGTACAAGTTCGAAAACCGATCCTGGCCCAACAAAACGGAAAAGGTTGCACAAGTCGTCGATTCTTCACCAAACAAGTTGCACAAGTCGTCAATTTTCTGTCAAAAAAGTTGCACATTTTCGAAAACCGAGCCTGGCCCGACAAAACGAAAAAAGTTGCACAATTCGTCGGTTCCCAATCTCAAAAGCTGCACAGGTCGTCAATTCTTGGTCAACAAAGTTGCACAAGTTGGAAAACCAAGCCCAGCCCGACAAAACGAAAAAGAGTGCGCGACCCGACGGTTCCCCACCGTCAAAGCTGCACAAGTCGTCAGTTCTCTGTCAGAAAAGCTGCGCAAGTTCAAAAATCAGGCGCCCGGTCGTGCGCGTCCGCGAACTTGCAGAATTTACGGGCCCGGCGTTAATTTAGTCGATTTTTTAATTTACGAACTTGTACTTAAGTCGAGGGGGGCGTTAACATCCCAGCTGAGGCTGAGGCAGGCTGAGGCTGAGGCTGAGGCAGGCTGAGGCTGAGGCTGAGGCTGATGCTGAGGCAGGCTGAGGCTGAGGCAGGCTGAGGCTGAGGCCGAGGCAGGCTCAGGAGGCTGAGGCAGGCTGAGGCTGAGGCAGGCTGAGGCTGATGCTGAGGCAGGCTGCGGCTGAGGCTGAGGCTGATGCAGGCTGAGGCCGAGGCTGAAGCTGAGGCAGGCTGAGGCTGAAGCTGAGGCTGAGGCTGAGGCAGTGGCTGAGGCTGAGGCAAGCTGCGGCTGAGGCAGGCTGAGGCTGAGGCTGAGGCTGATGCAGGCTGAGGCCGAGGCTGAAGCTGAGGCAGGCTGAGGCTGAAGCTGAGGCTGAGGCTGAGGCAGTGGCTGAGGCAGTGGCTGAGGCTGAAGCAAGCTGCGGCTGAGGCAGGCTGAGGCTGAGGCTGATGCAGGCTGAGGCTGAGGCAGGCTGAGGCTGAGGCTGAGGCAGGCTGAGGCCGAGGCAGGCTAAGGCTGAGGCCGAGGCAAGCTGAGGCAGGCTAAGGCTGAGGCAGGCTGATGCTGAGGCAGGCTGAGGCTCAGACAGGCTGAGGCTGAGGCTGATGCAGGCTGAGGCTGAGGCAGGCTGAGGCTGAGGCTGAGGCAGGCTGAGGCTGAGGCCGAGGCAGGCTGAGGCTGAGGCCGAAGCAAGCCGAGGCAGGCTGATGCAGGCTGAGGCTGATGCTGAGGCAGGCTGAGGCGGAGACAGGCTGAGGCTGAGGCTGAGGCAGGTTGAGGCTGAGGCAGGCTGAGGCTGAGGCGGAGGCAGGCGAATCCTTCGGTATCCTTAGGATTCCCTAGGAATCCTTAGGAATCCCTAGGAATCCCTAGGAATCAGGATTCCTAAGGACTCCTAAGGTTTCCTAAGGATTCCGATGGATTCCTAAGGATGCCTAAGGATGCCTTAGGGATCCCTAGGAATCCTTAGGATTCCATTGGATCCTACGGCCGTTGCCACTGCGACTGTCATTGCGAATGCGACTGCGACTGCGAGAACAGCAGAGTTCTACAACTGGATTCTCACCTGAATCTTAAGGGGAATGCTTCCAGATATGCTTATACACATCGCTGTTAGGTTGCTTTGCCGGGATAATGTTTTGTTTTCCTCCACTGGCCACTCGCTAGCTGCTATGGCCGAAGAGTGGGGCAGCTGGCCCACACTCTAAATGACAAAAGACCGACGATTGAACAGAAAGCAGTGCAGGGTTGGGACGACAAGGGAAAGACTCGGCCGAGCGAAATTCGGCCAGCCGCACTCGGCCCAGCCGAACTCGGCCAATCTAAACTCGGCCCATGGCCGAGTTTCGCTTGGAAGAGTTCAGCGCGGGCCGAGTTCCTTTGGCCGAGTTTCTCCGGCCGAGTTTCTCCGACGCGACTTCGTCCGGCCGAGCTAGGGGCGAGTCCCCGCTGCAACGCCGGGCGAGCTTGGCGGGCCGAGTTCAGCGCGGGCGGAGTTCACCTTGGTGCAGTTATTTCTTGGCAGAGTTTCTCCGGCCGAGTTTCTCCAGTGGAATCGTTTCTGGTCCGAAATTTGTCCAGCCGAGTTTTTGTCCGAGCTGAGTTGTTGTCCGGCCGAGTTTTTTCGGCCTAGTTCATCGGGCTGAGTTCGGCCAGCCGAGTTTCTTTTGGCCGAGTTTATCCGTCACCGTCTTCGGGAGCCGCAACGGGCGTTTCGCGCGGCACGGCCCCCAAGAGGCCAGCCCGCGCGAGGCACATCAGGCAGGCGAGCCCTTGTTCAAAAAAGCGCAGCCTGCACAAGCAAACTGAAGCGCCGGTACCATCCTTCGAGCGGATTGGGTTTCAGCATTGTTGCGAGCAGGTCCCCCACGAGAGAGCTGGGCCGAGAAAACGATCAGTACAAACGATCAGAGCGTAGCCGAGACGAGACTAGCAGAGCCGAGGAAAGAAATACCCAAACCAACAGCAGCATGAGCAAAGACGACCAGCAAAACAATGCTCAAACTTCGGGCGGCTACAGCACATGTTGAAGTCACGCACATTTCCTGCGCTAGCGCAGCCATCCCGAATGACAAACGAAAGGTCAGCTGGGCCAGCACAGACGCCAAGTACACTTGGCTACAAGAAGGGCTGTAGTCACTCAAGTTATTGCCCAGATCTGAACTATCGCAGATGCACCGCATCCTTCTTTCACCCTATTCAATCATTGTCTCCTTCGGGATTGTTGCCCGAGGGCAAGAAATCTGCGTCACTACCATACGTTATGTAGTCACGCGATTTGTTTGCCCTAGCGCAAATGTCCCCCCTAAAACAGATCCCTTGTAAGACAAAGCGTAACCAAGGCCATCACAGACACAAACTTGGCGTGACTACACACAGGCTGGAAGTCATCCAATCTCTCTCCCTCCTCCCCCCCTATCCCCCCTTCGTCCTTCCACGCTTCCGCGATCCCCCAAGGCAGCGTCCCCGCCCCCCCTCGGCCGACGCTTTCTGGAGACGCCGTCACGCCTCTTCAACCGACGCCGGGGGTGAAAAGGCGTATGTGATGATTCCCAGCCTCCCCCTTCCCCTCTCCCTTTGAGTCTACTATCCAGTGAAACAAGGGCGAGGAGGAATGTAGGGGGGCCGAACTCCTCAGCACACCTCCGGGGCCCTCCTAGCCTTAAAATCAACCCTCTGTGGCCGCCAAGACACCCAAGATGCTCAGTGTGGCCGAGTTTCTCTGGCCGAGTTTTTCCGGGGCCGAGCTACTCCGGCCGAGCTCAGTGTGGCCGAGTTTTTCCTGCCGAGTTTTTCCTGGGCCGGGTTTTTCTGGCCGAGTACCTCCTGCCGAGTTCATTCCAGTGCCGAGTTTAGTTTCCAGTTGGCTGATAACCGGCCCTCACTGGGTATGGGGAACGGTGGGTGCGGGAATGCGAATATCAGCGTGACTTATCTCAGACCTCTGAGGCCGCGCCGACTTGGCATTCAGCATCGTCCGGGTGGCGTCGACGCGTTCACCATGCCAAGATCCGGGCGTGCGCATCATCGTTAGAACTCAACGCCGCGTGCAAGCATCGTGCCCATATTACGATCACATTTCACATCATACCATCCTAGTCGCCATTGTCACCTTCCCACCTGACTTAAACATCAAGCGACCTCAGCCAAAACAGACCCAACGTGGAGGCAACACAAACCCGAAGTGTACCCATAATATACCCACGCAACCCGCAAAGGAAGCGCGGAACTCCACAATTTCGCAACGAGAGCTTTGACAGAAAGGCACAGCATTCTGGGACCCGCGCGGAGCTCATGTATCTCACGCCGGATTCCGACAGCCTTACTCCAGCCCCGTTCACCAGAATCACTTGGGGGTCGACGGGTTTCTGCCACCCAGTATGGCGCTTAAGTGATGTGCACGACTGCGGCATCGCATCAGTATGCACCAGCATGACACGGGGACAACGTCAAGCCACGATTGTTTTTCCGCATTGGCTCGATTCCGCGTGGCTGCCATGACGACAGCGCGGTTTCCATTGCGGACGTGCGTTTGATGTTCCTTGATGTCGCGCGCCAGTCCAAATGCAGGTCCCCGGAGGTCGCGCGAGTTTTGAGGTTCACTCTGCCTTCGGCCGAAGGTTCTTGGAAAGTCCGCGGGAGCGAGCAGAAGTATCAGAAGGACGGCTCTGCCTGCGGCGGCCCAGCGGAAGCCAGCGAAGTACGAGCTTACCCCCCAGGAGAGGTCTACGCCAGCGCACCCAGGTTTCCAGAGTTGCCCAGATGAGACCGCAGCACGTTCACAACGCCGTCGGTACGAAAGGCTCTCCAACCACCCCTGGAGAGGCTCGGTCAGTTCATTGGCTGCTCCATGCGCCCTTCGTGTACCGAGTGCGTCGCGGAGCGAGCCGCGCATCGGTGTTTTATGGTTTGTCCAAGGGTCCATCTTCGCTGTCACTTCCCACTCTTCTGTTCGAGATATTGATGTGGCAATCCTGATGACAATGAGAAACGAGCCTGGTTAGGGGTGAACGGTATGTGCCCTCGAGTCGCCCATAACCCACAGCGCAGCCCCTTCGAGTACGTGAGTTTTGCCACTGCTTGCGACCACCACGTCGTGAAAGGCACTGTGCGTGTTCTCACTGGCCTGTGCGAACAGTCCCATTTACATTTGGAGATTCATACAGGGAGTTGCCAGTGCACATCCCCACGAGCCAGCCGCTTACCGTGGTGCTTCCATTGTCCGATGGGAGCGGTATTCATCACACTCACAAGAATTATGATGCAATACCCAGCGTTTCGATAGGGCGTGGCCGATGCTTTGACTGCCTTCAGGTTCGTCACCTGGCTGAACCGTGACGTGACCATGTCCCGCTGGTTTGCAGACGTCGCCTCGAAAGACAACGCGCTGCTGTTCATCACGCAGGAGGGCCGCTCTCTCTTCCCACCGCAGCAAGAGCGTGCCAGGGCTGGACGGGGAGCGCGGCAGGGCATTGGGCTGCACAAGCATTCTTTCCCCAACCAGTGTTTGCTCTTAAGGTTTCCTATTCATGCCACTAAAGAACGAGATAGGCCCAGCGAGGGCTTTCCACGTTGCCGCCCGTGGCCGCCTCGTGGCCGCCTGGCGCGCTGGATGGGTTCTGCAAGGTGTGGCCACGTTGCTGGCTGCGGCCGCCTCGTGGCCGCCTCGTGCGCTGGGTGGGTCTGGCGAGGTTTCGCCACGTTGCCGCCCGTGGCCGCCTCGTGGCCGCACAGTGCGTACACTACATGCGCTCACCGCATAGCTTACATCTCGCAGATCAGACAGAATAGTGCACCATACAGCTTGCACCGCATAGCTCACATGTCATAGCTCACACCTTGTAGCATGCACCACATAGCTCACGCCACATATTTGGCATTGCATGTAGACTCTCCGTAAAAACATAGGTAGACTCGACCGCCCTCTCCCCCCGGACTTGTTGGTACCCTCTGGGGCGTCGCAAGTTACATATGTTTATGCCTCATCGTTCCTTTTGCATTTGATATGATACAATCTCAGCCAACGGGGTATCGCCCCCCCATCTGCCCTGTCCAATAGTACCATGCGCATGCACTCGCTTATCCCAGGATCCTGCTACACATTCGTGTCGCAAGGAATTGGAACATAACGACATCGACAAATGCTTACCATCACAATGTTTGCAGCGTTTCTGCCGTCGCGCATTTGCTAAAACCAGTGTTGTCCAGAACCCACATCCTCACGTCATTACGCAGCGCATCCGCGTGGATCCAGCATGCGCCCAACGCGCGAATCGGTATCAAATAATACCCTGTGGACAACAAGGACGCACCGCCACGCGCGAGTATCGAAACACGTCCAGAATCATTGGTTTCTGGAGCGTTGAAACATTAGGTGCTCAAACACAAACGACAAAGCCGTGTGTTGTTGTTCGAAAAATGTGCCAGTTGTCTTGCAGTTGCGCGCGCGCACTCCATCACCATCACCCTCATCAGTGCCACCGCGTCACGTCTGGAATCGTCACTGTCAATCGCCGCCATTGCAGTCAAGCAAGTCGTCACCAGCATCGGCGCTGTCATTGGCCTTCCGGTCGTCATCGCCATCATCGCCACAGCCCTCACTACTTTTTTCGTTGGCGCCGCCGTTGTCAACGTCACCGCGATACCGCGCCCGCCCGAGGCACCGACGCGCATTGAAGTGCCCGCGCGCCTGCGTGGCCTTAGAGACGCGCTGGGAAGTTGCCATCAGTAAGCGCCATCGTGGCCACGTCGTTTGGGCCAAATCAGCTGGCCGCTCTGCGCGCGAGCTCGCGCGCTAGCGCAGCCGTAGAGATGCGCCAGCCAGTGCCCAGTAGTCACCGCAATCGCGGCCGCATGGGTTGTGCAAGACAAGTTGCGGGAGGGAGGGTAGGGCGATTGTGTGCACAGTGGAGTTGGCGACCCCGCGTTCTGCCAGGTGGATTCCATTTTGCCAAAATAAGAGTAGACTCTGCCTCCGTGTCCCCCTGGAGTTTCTCACCTCACCCTTTGGGACATTGCTACGTTTTTGCCCCATCGCTCACTTCCAATATGAATTCATACCATCCCTGCCGACCAGCTCCCCCAAATATCCTTCCTGACACGTATTCTGCAAGTTCACCCGTTTATCTCAAGATATCATGCTTTAAGCACCCGTCCGTGGCAGAAGTCACCAGAACCCTCGCGCGCAGATGCCAATATCGTAGAAAGATTTTTGTTTGTGGTCGATTGTACTGTCCCCCCTAGGGTTCGACCGAGGGGGCTTTCCTAAAATGGCTCTTGGCTCCGAACCCTGTGGGGGGGGGGGGCGGGGAGTGCGGAAAACTAGCTGGTACCGCCCTTTTGGCCCCCCCCCCCCGAGAATTGGAGGGTACCCCTCACCCCTGGAGGGGGGGCAAGAAGGGAGGGGGGGGGGGGGGATGCCACCCCCTCCTCGTCATCCCAGCTAGGCTGCCCCCCCCCCTATCCCTGTCGTATAATATCATGCGCACACTCGTGTACTTAAAGTACCATTGTTCATTCAACGCGAATAAACCACAACGTTAATACGGGCGCACATGTCGAATTCATACCAAACACCAGGCACGTTAGTTCTGCAAGCGCTGCACCAGAAACAGAACAACCAAAACCAGTAGTCGTTTGTTTCAAGATGCTGGTATGTGTTCTACCCACGCGCACTTGCGCAAACTATGGGAACTATAATTCAGTTTCGCAATTTCGTCCAGAACCCTTATTCTCATCACCACGCGGCGCAGCCGCGTTCATCCAGCATGCGCCCAGTGCACGATTTTGCTCCAAAGAATATCATGCGGGCCACGCGCGCGTGCCGAACATGTTAAAATCAAGTGGTTGTCGATGTATGTCTAGGTAGGCTCCATCAAACGCATAAGAAACGCATGCGTTTTCCAATTGGAGGCTTGTTTTTGTTCATTGTGGTTTGCATGTCTGCGTTCGCGCATGTTTCACCATAGCCGTCACCAGCGCAGTCGCATTTCCGCCGTCTCCGCCATCCTGAATCGCAGCCGTTGCCGCCATCATTTGCACAATCGCCCCCCTCACCGGCACATGGGCGTCATCATCGTTATCATTGTCACCAGCATCGGCGTCTTCATTGGCCTTGCCGTCCTCATCGCCATCATCGCCACGACCATCGCCACCATCATAACACCGCACCCGTCCGAATCATCGATCCGCATTGAAGTGCCCGCCTGCCTGCACTGTCTGCCTTTGAGACGCGCAGGGAAGTCCCCAAAGGCAAGCGCCATCGCGGCCGCACCAGTTGTGCCAAGTGAGCTGGTCGGCCTGCGCGCGAGCGTTTGAGCGCCAGTTGCCAGCCGCAATCGTAGCCGCATGGGCTTTGCTCGGTGGGAGGGTGGGATGATTGCTCGGGCAGCCGAGATGACAATCAACGACTTGACGCAAGTCTAGCTCCTTTCAAAAAGAAATGCCGCCCCCTTCCCGGACCGTCAAATCGCGTATGGTCCCGCACCAGGGACATGTCAAATCAGGGACATGTCAAACTACAAAGTGTTGTGCTTCATCGTGTGTTTTGAATTTGAATTCGTACCATCCCAGGTGGCGGTCATCGCCTCCCCTAGTCCTGTCAGATAATGATTTGTGTGTGCACTCGCTCGTATTGAAATAGGAGGTTCCAGAAATCTTCAGCAACAAAAAAAGGTTCAAACGCCACGTGCGCGTGCACATGCCGAAGTCAAACCAACAATACCAGTTCTGCAAGCATTTCAGCAGTAACCACATCCGCATGTTGCGATGCCTCTGCCCGTGCGCATTGATTGGAAACGTGCGACAGCCATAAAATTTTAGCAATCTCGCCCAGCACCCGCATTCTCATCTCACCACGCGGTGCACCTGTGTTGATCCGGCATGTCCCCCTTGCATCCAATCCATTTCAAATGCAGGCCGCGCGCGCACGCCGCCACGCGCGCGTGTGGAGATCATGCAAACACCATTGGTTTCGGAGCATCTCAAGGTAGAGCCCTGCAAAGACAGATTACAGCACCTCGTGCTTTTCAACCGAAGGTTCGCCAGGTGCTCTTGCGTTTCCGCGCGCGCATTTTCTCCCTTATCATAACCCTCATCAGCGCCACCGCATCACCTCCATTGTCGTCATCGCCAATCGCTGCCATTGCCGCCTCCATCAGTCAATTTTCGCCGTCACCGGCACATGGACATCAGCATCGTCATCGGCGTCACGAGCATCGGCGCCGTCATTGGATTTGCCACCGTCATCCTCATCGTCGCCACCACCACGATCGCCAGTATCATCATCATTGTTGTCGGTGTCGGCGTCATGATGACAACGCGCCCGGCCGAGTTTCCGACCCGCATTGAAGTGCCCGCCCGCCAGCGTTGCCTGCTTCTGAGACGCACAGGGGGATTCCCACCAGGAAGCACCATCGCGGCCATGTCGGCTGCGATACGCCAGTTAGCCGCTCTGCGTGCGAATTTGCGCGCGCTATCGCAGCCGCAGAGATGCGCCAGCCAGTCACTGCAATCTCGGCCGCACGGGTTGTAAATGACAAGCTGGGTGGGAGGGTGGGGTAATTGCGCGAGAATGGAGTCGATTACCTTCAGTTTGACAAGGTGGATCACGCTTCATATAGATCACACTTCCTCACCTACACATCCACCGTGCAACATCGCTCTGTTAGGGGTCCGTGCTGGAAAACATTCGCATCGAGAGCCCCGCGGAGACTGGGGGGGAAAGCAGGCTGCGTAGACTTGTGTTACCCACTGGCCCTGGGCGGCCCTCGGCCGGCATCTGGCGATATTCGGTCGGCATTTTTTCGACCGTCTTCTGACGGTTCTCTGCGATCTTCGGCGGTTTCTGGCGGTCTTCGGCGGTTGCTGGCTGGTTTCGGCACGAAAGCTGGATGGCTGCGTTCAACCAGGGGCGTATGATCGAACACTTAGAAAAAGGGGACGGCAAACTTGCAAGCACTTCGTATACCGCCATCTCCTTCCTCCTCTTTCCCCCCCTCCTCCGCCTCGTGCCCCCCTTTTTTCCCTTCCCCGCGTCACCCCGGACCCCCCGCGTCGCCCCGGGCGGCGCGGGGCTGTCGAGACCGCCCCCTCGGGCTGCCGTGGGGGCCTGGTGGGCCCAGCTTTTGGACTGCCCCCAGGGGCTGTCTGCGCGCAGCCCCGAGCCGTGCCAGCTGGGGCTGGTATGGAGGCCCAGGTTGTGGAGGACGAGGAGGAGAGGAGGGTGGAGGATGTGGAGGAGGAAGGAGGAGGGATGAGGGAGGGGGAGAAGAAACAGGAGAGGGGGCAGAGGAGGAGTAGGAGGAGGAGGCGGCGGAGGAGGAGGACGGAGGAGCGAAGAGGAGCACGGAGCAGCAGGAGTTGACGAGGGAACATGGCGCACCGCACGATCAGTTCGTCACGGGAGGCGCGGTCCGCCCGCCCGGGGCGCATCCACCCCGGGCGCGCTCCCGTCGCGCTGCCGGCCACATCTGTTCTTGGGCCGCCTGCCCGAGGTCGAGGTGCAGGCTTCGATCTCCGCGGGCGCCGTGCCTCCTCGCGCTCCGTCTCCACTCTGCGCCTCTCCTCCTGCTGCCCCTTGACGTCGCCCTGCCTGTACTTCCCGTCCTCCTCCTCCTCCTCCTCCTCCTCCTCCTCCTCCTCCTCCGGCTCTGTCCTGCAGTCGTGACGCTGCATTCAGGAACAGTTGGGGTTCGAGAGGGCCTCGCTGCTCCTCAGGTCTTTCCACGGCTGTTTCTCTAGCGCTACTCGTGCACCCGGGCGCTTCTCTCGGGCCAGTGAAGGGCTCCGTTCCTGATTTATCGTTCCTTCTGGTCGTAGTTCGAATGAATTTTTCCCCTGAGATCCGACGTCGCGAAAAAATGGAAACATCGTGAAAATCACCATGGAAGCTGTAGGCGTCATCTTTCTGCGCCAATTACCGAGACGGGTAAATCTGTGAGGGTCCCGTGGCCCGAAATCAAGCGAAAACGCCCTGTTCGGAAGAATTGAGCCGCCAGGATTTCAGGGGTATTTCTCTCCTCGGCGCCCTGGGGTTGCCCCTTCGGCAGATGCTGTGCACCTCTGGCCTCAGCGGCTACATCGTCGGCCTGCTGCTGCGCCGAGGCCACCCCCGGCGGTCGCCCCGGCGGCGGCCTCTCTCTCTCTCTCTCTTTCTCTCTTCGCGGATGGGCGCGCTCCGCGGGCCCCCCCGGCGTCGGCCCCGCCGGAGGTGCGGCGGAATCTTCTTTTCGCCTCGGTTTCGCGCTTGTGGGCCTCCCGGGGGGGCCTCGTCGCCACCGCTGGATTCGCTTCGAAACGCTGGTCAGAACGCACCCC